AATCACTTTCTAAAACTTTTTGATAGTATCTACTAAACCTAAAAATGCAATTTTACTTCAAGAGAATCCACCCGACAGAAAAGAATGGATATATCTGTCAAAGAATACAAACAACATATCAGCATATGTAAAAAATGTTTATAGTTCTTTGTTTTATCATAACAAAAATAGAAACAATACAAATGTTAAAGGACAGTAAATTAAATAAACAATTGTAATGAAATCATTTTTTAAAAAAGACTGAAAGGTCTGTCTATGTAACTCATGTCAGTGGACAACTGGGGTGGCCAGAAGCTATGGAGCCAGCCTGTTTTAGCTTCTTAGTATGAAACCCCTGTTTGTCTGTTTGAATACTTGCAGTATTTTTGCCTCATGATTGTTATTCAGCCCTTGTGCCAGTGACTGTGTGGATAGTTTTCCATAAACTCTACCTGGAATGTGCTTAACCCCTTTAATGTGCATAAAGTTTTTTCCTCTTTTTTCCTTCTATTCAGAAATGTTGCTTTAATTATCCATTTGATTATTATGTTCAAAACCTTGTCAAATACTCAAAAGCTATAATTGGTAGCCAAACCTACATTTTCCGCCCAATATCCTTCATGTTTCTATTCATTTCCATCTTTATTCTTTATTTAACGTAGACTGTTTGCCCTCAACAGGACTGTGTATGTGTTTTTGTTGTCAGTTATACTATTATATCTCACAGATTTTGTGACAAGAAAAACCAGTAGAGTAGAGTGTTCATCCAGTTAATAACTATAGTTTAGAAGGGTCTTATTGCTAAGTGACTTGAGAAGTACACGCAGGGCAAGGCCTGGTAAACTGAGAGTTTTCATAGCTAATGTGTTGTAGAGAGTGAACATTGACACCAAGGAAAATGGGGATATGATTTTATGTTTTTCTTCTAAGTTACAGCAGTTTTAGGCTTCACTAACTGAATTATACATATATTAACTGAATCATATATTAAGAGATGGCAGAAGGGTTGCTGAGTATTTAAGTATCTGGGCTTGAGAATTTCATTGGTTTCCACATAACACTGAAAAGTAGACTTCATCAGTGTGACAAGGTTTAGTGTCAATGTACAGAATCCATTGCTCACTTTTCTCTGAAGCACTGGGGAAAGTCTACACATAGGAAAATCACAATGTAAGGATCAACAGTTTCGAATTCTGCTATTGCAGTCTGAATTTCTTTGAAATTCTCATTTGACTCACTTCCTTATTTTATTATCTTTTCAGCTTACCCGGTTGTTTTATAAAATTTAATTTGTTGTCTTTTTACCTTAGCATTTGTTAAATCTTTCTGCACATGTCATAGAGACTGGGTCTTTCTGGATACTACTGAAAACATTAAGGCTCTGTCTAAAATGCGTTCATGTTTTTCTTGTTAACTCATTTTCAGAGTGACACCATTTTCTGTGATTGAGGGTGATGTTCTCTTTCTCTTATGCCCCAGTACTTCTTCTTGAGTACTATTTGTATGTCTTTAGTTTACTTATTCTGAAATGATCCATCCAGGCCTTGGGATAGCCAGTAGACAGTGTAGATTCCACTTTTTGTCTACTTACATTTGTAGAAAACTTTTCTCCAAGTTGTCTCAATATCCAGTGTCTTTTAGGCAGTTTGGGAGCTCTACTACACTAAGATGGAATCTGGCCACACTTTTTCTTTCTGCCTGTGCACTTCATATATTGAACTGTTAAAGTCCTTGTAAAATAAATAACATCAATATTGTGCTTTACACCCAAGTTCTTGCTATAGGTGCAGTAGCTACAACCTTGTACTTGCTGTGAATACAGTTCCACTGTACTGCTGCCATCACACTGCATTGTTTTCTTGGAGTTAATCTCCAAGGGGATGGATAACATTGGTTCCCAATAGATAATTCTATTTGGTTCTTACAGAATGGTAGGCATATCTCATTAGTTAACAAAGTTCTCTAATTCAGGAGCGAGATAAAAATTTATAAGAGCACTGATGAAGTTGTCTAGGTGGGGAGAGGAGGGTGTATGGGGCATACATAGTGATGGAAGGAGACTTGACTTGGGGTGTGAACACACAATATACTGTGCAGATGGTGTGTTCTAGAACTGTGCACCTGAAACCTGTGCAATTTTGTTAAGCAGTGTCAACCCAATAAATTCAATAAAAAGGAAAAAAATAGTTCTCTTGGTAAAAAAAAATTCGTTTAACAAAAAGCACATATAAGTAAGCGTCATATATTTTTCCCCCTTCAATCTGTTTCAGTTGGAGTCAGCGAGGGAGGGGGAAGGGAGGAGGAGAAGGAGGAGGAGAGAGAGAGAATTCGGGGAGAGGTTGGTGAAGTATAGACAATACCCAAATAAATACCCAACTAAAATATATTGGATGTGAGAAGTAAGATTCCTATAGAGAAAAATAAAGATAAAAAGACAGGGAGAATTCATAATTCTCGTTCCTATTGTTACATGGTTTAAGGCTTGTCATCATAGTTATTTTTATTGGATATTGGGTGAAGCTACTTTAAATGCAAACAGCCGGAATTGTTGTTTGAAATAGCTTTTAAACCAGAATCCAGCTATGCTTACATTTAATGGTTGAAAAACTATTATTACTATTAATCTCTGGTGTGTGATATATTGTGAAAAAAAACTATGCTCACTGCTTGGCAGATACTATGATATATGCTTACTTAAGCTATTTTATTTAATCCTTACAACACCTCTGTAAATTAAGTATTATTTATCCCTCTGAAGATAAAGAAAATAAGGCTTAGAATGATTAAATAGCTTGCCTGAGGGAGCATAGCTAGCAAATACCCAAACTAGGATTTGACCCTAAATTTCTTTGATCCAAAGATCATATTTGTAATCACTATACCTTTCACCTTCAAGTTCTGATTGAGCTAAGCATAATGAACACATTAACAAATCAATTGGTTTTAATCCAACTGTTTTCCAGAGCTTTTACGTAATTTGTTCTCTGCCTACCTCTCCAACTTCATTTTAGATTACATACTCCAGGCTGTCTGGTCCCAGCCCCACTGGCTTCCTTTCTGTTCCTTACATACCATATTTTGGAGACCTTTGCATGTGCTGTTTCCTTAGTTGGTAGTGCTCTCTTTCCTCTCCCCTTCTCTCTCTATGCTTGCCTCCTCCTCTTCCAGGTCCTACCTCAGGTAACATTTGCTCAGTCGTCTTCTGGCTATTGTGTATAAAACTGCCCCTCCCCCTGTCACCTATTATTTCCTTCATAGTAACTGATCTGAAATCAATCTTTTCATTATTTGTTATGTCTCTCTCTATGGACTGTAAATTTTTTGAGAGCAGGAACCTTTTGCTCTTGGTTATCACTGTATTTACTGAACTTATACATCAAGTACTGCTCTAACAGATGTGGAAAAGGCAATTTAGTGAAGAATGGATGAATGACTTTGAAATGTATATATTTGTTTCTACTTAGGAACAGTGCCTTAAAAATTTTTTAATGAAATGTATTTAAAAATGTCTTTGATAATTTTGAATAGTATTCTAAATCAAGTTTAAACTTTGACCAGGATACTTAACATAATCACAAACCATCACGATTTCCTGCAGTAACAGATTTTTGCTTTGGTTTTGACCTTCCCAGTGGTCTTATATAAATAACCTGAAAATGTGTATTATTTAATAAGAATAAGACTATTTACCTAATTATCTGCCTATCATTACCTATCATTAATTGAATGATAGTGTTAGATAATCATTCGTTTTTAGCTAGATAAGTACTTAGTACGCTCTATAGGAAGACCAAAATAATGTAGAAAGATAAGAAGCCTTCTCAAAAACTATGCAGGTAGATTCAGGTCCAGAAACATGGAACAGAACCCTTTCTATATACTAGTGTTCCTTTCATTTGCCCTCTCCCACACCATTATAGTGAATATTCCCACAGGAGCAATGGATTACGTATAGCATTAAGTCAATATAAATAAATCTGTATTTAAGGAAGAAAAGTATGAGTATTAATCAGAGTTCCCAGGTTATCTCAAATCCATAAGAAATGAAGTGAACTTTCAGGGGCACCATAACCCTGGAGTCTCTGTGCATAGTTGCATCTAAGGCAGCTGTAATGGAGACAGAGGGGGTGCGCAGGCCAGATCTTCAAGTAGCAGGGAAAAAGTGTGTCAGGTTCAGGATGAACAAAATCATCATGCTTTATACATTGTATTTTGTTCCACAGTTCACAATCAAAACTACTACACTGAAACCTAATATTCAGCAATCACAATTAAAAAAAATCAGATTTAATAACCTTTGAATTTTTGTGAATCAGTCTTATATGACAAAGGAATTCCTCATTCTCTAGAAATATTCCTTGAAACTATGGTTTGATTTCCAAACATAAATTTACATGCATGTCTAAAAAACAAGATATATCTTGCCTTCATGTCTTCTTAGCAGCCAAAGATTTATTTTCTAACAGTCAAAGAAAACAAAAGCAAACTACATTGTCTTGTTTCCATAAAGGGACAAAGGAAAATGGATATATGTTTCATTAATGGAAATGATATGTCCAGTAAATGTGAACAGTGAATATATAAAGTATTCTAAGAAGTTCAAAAATAGTGCTTTTTCTAGGAAGTGACTCTTGTAAGACCAATGTAATCAAGACCTGTACTGTCTATTTTATTATTCTCCTAAAGTCAGCAGCAACATTGGCTCACATATTTACACAGCAGAACACAGACCCCAGTGCAGATGACTATGAAATTTACCTTTTTCTTGTGAAGAGAATTTTTATGCTGACTCTGTAGAACTTCAGTTCTCTTCGGTGCTTTGGTTATAGAATGATCACAGGCTGTAAAGAAAATACTGTTTAACCCCAAATAACTATGCATGTCAGTCATTGAAACTTTGACTTCCAGAATCCAAGGGATTATCTTGTCAAAAATCTTCCTTGTAGAGATAAAGCTTGTCTTAGAATTCTGGCACCTGTTGTAATGAGGATTTATTTGTCTTTGTATGTCTGTGTGTGCAGGAATACATGGACTCCAATAAATATATTGAACATCTGTTAACTCAACTTGAGGAGAAACACAGAAGTCTCTGGAGGTGAGTTAAATCCATGTCCTCACTTATACCACTAGAGCATTGATCTTGAACATGGAGGTAGGGAATTAGAAAACAGTTTCTTGTTCCATTTGATGCCAAAAGCATCACTGGAGACAAAAATCACTAGAGGTTACCTAGAGAATTTTATTTCTTTAGGTAAACTAAAGCAGCAATGCCAAAAGTTGTCTTTGAGTTGAGGACCTGCTCAGAGCTGGATGGATGGTAGAAATTGTGACACACATTGGTCAAGGTCAATGAGTTAATTTGCCCAAGGCCACATGGCAACTTTATATGGTAGAAACTGGAACCTGAATTCTCTGATCCTTGCCTGCTTGAAGATTATTTACGTTTTTCTGTAATTAAAAAGGTAGGACATTTCTGCTTAAATTTTCTGCTTCTCCATATTAAAGAGGAACATTTTAAGAATGTTGTTGAATAGGTCTCTAATGTTTTTTTTTCCTATATGGTGGGTCCGATTTTGAGTAAAGAAAGATATGTGAGAATATTTGTGCAGGTAAGTTGGAAAAAAATTAATATCATGGAAGTCATACTTTCAAGTTATTTATTCACTGGGGCCTCTTGGAAAGTGATACTAACCAAAGATGGTTGTGATGTTATTATCTAGCTCTTTAGGGTCTTGTTCTTCATAGGTGCTGCTATGGGATTTGAATTTCTTTTTTTAAGTTCCAATAGCTCTTGTTGTCAGGAGTAAATATACTAGTGCTCATTTATATGATGCCTCACTTTGCACTGCAATTGTTTCACGTAATTAGCTTTGTCTCCCAAAGGTCAATATCCCCCTAATGTACTTTATTGCTTATCTCCTCAAGGCAGGGAGCAGAGCACATTCTATGTCCACAGAGATGGCAAGTAAACATTTGTTAACCCTGTGATTTTTTTCCCCAACCTCATCCAAACCCATCACCATTGGTACCAGGCTATGCTGCTTCGCCCCTCCTTATGCATCCTGTAACAAATCCTAAGAACTTTGCAATTCATCTTCCTGAGAAATTCTAGTTCTTGGGTAAAGTGCCTGATATTTTCATTTGTCCTTCTCTTATATTACCATATTTTGCTGTGTATAATGTGCACCCACATTTTTGTGTGCATTATACACAGGATTGTTATATCCATGACATGTAATCATTATATCCATGTATAATGCACATCCTTATCTTTCCCTCAAAAATTTGGGCAATAACACGTGCATTCTAATGACAAAATATGGGTAATTTTCCTACTGGAGAACAAATCTGTGGTTATAGTAATAGAAAGTATTCTATTTCTCTATACAAAAACAATTGCTGGTAGGATACAACAGAAATATGTAATTTTTGTCTGCTTGCCACTGGCAGGCACACCAGTTAATTTTATATAAATTGATGCAATATTTGTTAGATTTGTTTTTGAGAGCTATAACCTGGTACTGATATAATTTTCTTTTGTGAATAGTGTATTGTATTAATAAAACCAATAATAATAATGTATTTATAGTTATGTGCCTTTTAAATTATGTCTTCCATTGATCTACAAAGTGTATTGAAAAGGTTATTTAACTGAATTGTAACATTGTCTTTCAAGTACTTGAATATTTTTTTATCTTCCAAGAGAAAAATACACAAAAATGATGAATACCACCTGACAAAAGAAACTTAGAGTTTAATTTGGTCAGTAAGTGTGTCTTATCCACATCATTGGAAAGGAGTAATAGCTTCATGGGTCTCTGAACCAAATACCTGCATGGAAATATTTTCCTGCTTTCTCAGGGTCACTTATAAAAACCATTTGGTCTTCTCCACTATGATTAAGTTAAAATCATATTTCAGGCACAGAATTAAACTAACATAAAGAAAGAGCTCAGAATTTTGTGTGCAATCGCTTCCATTATCCTTCAGAAATGAAATTATTGCTGGTAAAGAAGCATAACCTTATATATAGTGTCTGTGGATCTAATAAAACTACATTTGAATAACAATAAAGGGCAATAATAACACTTGAATAGTCAGAATAACTACCAGTGAGAAAATGGAAATGGGTAGTATTGAAAAGAAAATGAAACCAGTAATAGCAGATTTATATACTATTTATTGAATCATGAAATTATACTTGATTATATTTTGCAAACAGATCTTGACTGACTGAAAGTAATAGGTTTTATGGTGATTATTACAGTGTCATAACTGCAACTGTAGCTGAATTGTTTTTGGTGAAGAGTATGTTAAGTGACAGTGAGCAGTGTGGAAAATTCTTTCTGGTTGTGATTAAATTTTTAAAATGCTTTCTTGAGTTAGAATAGAATCTGTGATGTGCAGAGGATCATGGGAATAGCATGTGATGTACCCAAGCACAACTGGATTGTCTGAAGTTAAACAGCCATTCCCATAACTCAATATAAAAGCTTTTCTCTGACTTTATTATGCCTTTGACTTGTATCTGGTGCAATCTTCATGGATGGGGCTACTTGTGATTGCTCCTAATAGTAACTGATGACTTCCACTTATACCTAAAAGAAAGGACAAGTTCTGAATACTTAGTTCTTCCAACAGTAATGGTGGTCAACAATAATTTAGAGCCACAATATTTTAGGATTGATCAAAATCATGGTAGACATATATGTTGTTATTGACACTGAAGATTGGGTACAAGGATTAAAAGTCTTCCCTTATTTTTGTAGAGGGAGCTACTGGTCTTTAATAGTTTTTAGTCATTTCTTATAGTGTAACTAGTTACTGAGACAGAAATGTATTGTTATAATCATACTCTCAAGATAACTGGTTATGGGGGATCCTTTAGTATTCTACTGAAATAGACCTATTATCTATCTCTGGGTGTTCTAATTGCTAAGGAATTTGTGAAGTCCAAAGATAGCCATCTAGCAATAACCAGTCATTTACCTCAACTGTCTTTTTTGATACCAACAGAAAATGTGTGTGAATTAATCTGAATGGGGGGTGGAGTCAGAATCTAAGACTTGGTCTAAGATTTGAGTACATGCCTGGCTGTGTTTAATCGGCTCTGCATCTCCCTGCTTTGATGAGGAAAGGAGCACACCAACGGCACCTTGTTTACCAGCTGATGTTGAAATGTGAGAATGCACTTCTGCATGTTTATTTGTTTTAATGTGGGAAGTGAAGATTAGAAGAAAAAGGCTCATTTGCACTTAATGATTTTTATATCATCTATTACTATTTCTGATTTGACTAAATATGTCTGTGATTGACAAAGATCATAATAAAACAATTGCTGAGAATGTCTTTCTCCTACACTTGATAGCCTCAAATTAAGAGTTTAGAACAAAAACAAACATTTGGAAAACACAAATCGAATTCATGAATATTTATTGTGTTAATGACTCTTTCATGTCACATATGTAAAATTATGTATAACAATGGAAACAGCATAATACTATAGAAATGCAATGAGGACTGAATTAGAGGTTTTGAAGACTTGAACTCTTGCTCTGGCCTTAACTTACTGTTAAAGGAACATCTGAGACTGAGTTTCCTTATCTATAAAAAGAAGGTATCAACGTAGTTAGTATTTAAGTTTATGGAGCACAATAGTTATATGAAACATGATGTCTAAAGTAGTATTACATTTATATAACATGTCAGACATGTATAATATCATTTTTCTATAATACTTAAATACTATATTATTATTAATCAGTATGGTACACATGTCATAGAAGTATCCAAGAAGATGAGTAGAAATGACTAATATAACAGAAATACCTAACAGTTTGCTAGCAATGAAACCAGATAATGTCAAAGTGTTCATTTCAGATGTTCCTAGCTCTAATTGGAGACAGCACTAGCAATAGCCTATAAATGAACAAAGTTGGTCTGCAGGGCCAAATTTAAATGACAAGATTTGGTAAATGAAGAGAGCTAACTGCCCGCCCCCAGACACCAAATCACCAAAGGTCTATCTGAACAAGCTCTATCTGAGCTGGGGTTTCACAGTCGAGGTACTATTGACATTTGGGGCCAGTCATTCCTTATCATGGGGGCATGAGAGTGGGGGTATGCTGTCTATTGTAGGATGTTTAGCATAATCCCTAGCTTCAACCCACTACATGCTAGTAACATTATGACAACTGAAAAAAAAAGTGTCCCCAGACATTTTCCACATGTTCCCAACGGGTCAGAATCATCCTTTCTCCCCATTGAGAACCAGTGGTCTAAATCAGCAGTCCCCAAACTTTTTGGCACCAGGGACTGGTTTCATGGAAGACAGTTTTTCCACAGGTTGGGGTAGTGGAGAGTGGAGACAGGAGGCAGAGCTCAGGCAGTAATAGGAGTGACATCCATGAACAGGGAGGAGGGAGGTTGGGGACCCCTGATCTAAATCATTGACACAAGCATTTTTCTAAGCACATGCCAAGAAATACTAATACCCTGGGCCACTTTTATAGGCGTTTTAAGAAAAATAAAGGTTAAATTTGAAATATACTAGGTAAAACCAAGTTTTAAAAATGTTTTAATTGTAGAACTTTTCAGAGCCAATTACATTACTAACATGCACTGTACACATTAAATACAAGATATAAAATGTAATTTTGGCTTCTTAAAAAAATTGACTCATATCTCTCTTAAAGTGTCTACTCTAAGGTTCCAGGAAACATATTTGGGAAATGGTCATCTATCCAGTCTAATAGCCAAATATAAATGTGGCTTGTGTGCTCCACTTCACTGGTACTGGGGGCTGAGGGACATAGTGAAAGAACAGTTAGCACTGTGAGGAGCCTGGGTTGTGCAAACAAGAAGGTAGTATGTATGTGGAGAAGCCAATCCCAGGTTCTTTGCCATTTCCTTGAGGGATAGTCCAAGCCTCAATATGAAATTCCAAGAATCTAAAGAACTGTTGATTACAAGCTACGTTGGCCCTAGTGAAGTACTTACTTCCTGCTTCCGCAGGAAGAGAAATGATGGTTTCTATACAGCCAGGGGGAAGAAAACACTTGATTGACAAGCATATATAGATACCTGGTCAGAATA